TATTAATTGAAGATAAGTATCATCAGCAAAATTATACATTTTTGAATGGTTGATAGAAAGATTGAGATCATTAATATAGATAATAAAGAGAAGAGGACCTAATATGGATCCCTGAGGTATACCAATTGAAACGTTTTTAAATTGGATCCCTGAGGTATACCAATTGAAACATTTTATATCCACTGCAAGGATATGCCATGTACACCATAATAGTTAATCTTTGAGAGAAGAATTTCATGGTCTACGGTGTCAAAAGCTTTTTGCAAATCAATAAAAACCCCACAAGCAAAATTACCATTATCAAGAGCAACTCTTATACTTTCTGTAATTTCAATAAGAGCGTGAGCTGTCGAATACTTATTACGAAAACCAAACTGGTGTTTATATAAGCATTGATTTTGGTTTAGAAAGTTGTATAGTTTATTATGCATAACTTTTTCAATGTATATTATTCAATATATACATATATATATATATATATATATATATATATATATATATATATATATATTATATATATATCTATATATATATATATATCTATATATATATATATCTATCTATCTATCTATCTATATATATATATATATATATATATATATATATATATATATATATATATATATATATATATATATATATATATATATATATATATATATATATATATATATGTATATATATATATATATATATATACATATATATATATATATAATGTTCCCGTATATATTTATATTATATATACGGGAACATTAGCATTATCGGAGATAATGCTAATGTCCCTATATATATATATATATATATATATATATATATATATATATATATATATATATATATATATATATATATATATAAATATATATATATATATATATATATACATATATATATATATATATGTATATATATATATATATATATATATATATATATATATATATATATATATATATGTATATAGTAGTGGTGTAGTGGTAGAGCGCTCGCTTCATAAACGAGTGGTTCCGAGTTCGATCCCCACCACGTCCCTGGTAGTACCGCGCTCAACTCGTTTCTCTGCGCAGCGGCCTTGTTCGTCAAGGTTCGTGTTTCGGAGTTATAGAGTTGAGAGAGGGTTATAGCCACAAAATAAGTAGCCTCCTCGTCTGTAGTGGCCTTCTCGGCCTTGAGGAGGTGAAGTATAATAAAAAAATATATATATATATATATATATATATATATATATATATATATATATATATGTATAGGGTAATTCCACATCAAATCACCCAGTCCATTGAACCATGTGTCTTCTTTTTGTTTTATATTTTGACACATTATTCCTAATTATAAAAAAAAATTGCATGCAAAATTTCAGCCAAAAATGTTGAGCGGTTGACAAGATACTGCGATTTTAATATTGACCTGGTTTCCCAAAATGACCCGGTTTACATAACATTCTAAAAATATCTTTTTCTTAAAAAAATAAGAAATAAAAATGGCAAAAATATAAAAATAAACATATATAATATTTTTTTGATGCTGAATTCAATAAATGTACTTAAAATGCTGAAATATAAAAGGAACAAGCTTAAAAGTTAATAAAACAACAAGTTTCTATAAACCAACTTTGGGGCCCAATATCTCAAAACACCCCCGTCAAATTTTTTTTTTTTTGCTGTTAATATATTCAGCTGCTTATAATCTTACTAGGCACAAAATATCTAACTGGAAAAACAACTGAAACATATAAAACTTTAATATCTAAGATGTATTACTTTTTCAAAAAATTCCCAAAAAATGTTTGTAAATAAAATAAAAATAAGTTAATCGTAATTTAAAAATGTATTTAAATATACAAGATTTTTCAAGATGCAAGTTATTTTGACTGTGTTTGTAATCATTCACAATATTGTTCCCATTTTACTTGTACTTCTATTTCAGCATTTTCAAACATATAGTTTCTACCGGAACTAGAGCAAGCTTGTGAAACAGATAGTTTTTTCAATATGTTGGTGTAAGGAATAAAACAGTAGTCCTCTCTTTCAGGCCAGTTAAAACAGATTGATGGACCTTTTGGGTGAAGAAACTTAACTTTAACATCAACTTCTTCTAGGTTAGTTTCAGTTACAATTTCGATCCACCACTTATCATCATAGACTACAGCTACATAACCTCCTAAAGTGACAGTATCAAGTTGAAATATATCTTGTTTCTTTTTAAGGTTGTGAATTATTGTATAATTAGTGTCTGTACTACACCTCTTTGCCCCAACCCTGTTATCTCCAAGATGTATAAATTGATGAAAGCTACGAGTACCAGGTAGAGTTGTTACACCAGTGTACCTTTCTTTTTGCTCCTCACATTGCAATTGTAAGTCTATCCCCTTTATGTAAATAAAGTTAACAACCTTGATTTTCTCAATACAAAATTCATAAATAGCTTCAGATGTGAGAATTTGGTTTCTGTATGGTCGTTTTAAAATTTTCTTGTGCTGTTAACCTTTTTACAGTGCCGCCAATCCCATCGCATGGTGACTTTCCGTGTGACGTGGCAAAAAAATTCCATTCAACTTTAAGGGAAAATTCGCTCTCTAGTTGGCATAGATTGTAAAAGCTTTTACAATTTTTGTACTGTCCTGTGCAACCATCAGTAAATAGATGTAATTTGGACAGATTGGAAAATTTTGTTTTTAATATTGGTATGATTAGTTGAAATATTTTGTACACATAAGTTACATCATGTGTAATGTCGTCTGATATAAAACAATAAGAAATATGTTTCAGTACACCTTTATCATCTTTATAATATATCACTAATGGATGTAAAGAACATTGTTGGGTGTTCCAATGATAGCTTTGTATTTCATCTTGGACTACAAAAGTATAATTTTCAGCAAAGTCGCCAATAATGATAATGTTTGATTGATCCATATTTTGTTTTAGTTGGTTAAGGTACTGTGATTGAGAGTGAGCAATAAAAGAATGAGCTTGTAGCTTTTCAAAGCAAGATACTAATAGTTCAACAAATGTTGAAACATCTGCTGTTAAACTCAATAGTGTTGCACGATCAGTAGTTTGCCATTGCTTGTAGTGTATCTCAAAATCATCTTCGTATTCTCCGAAAATCTCATACATATATTTGGTGAGGGTTTCTTTACCAGGACAATTATCACACTGTGCAAGCATGCATTCTTTGTTTTCTACTGAGCAAACGGTTTTTCGAAAGTAAATCCTTATACTTTAGTCCAATATTTAAGGCATCTACTAGCAATATGGCATTTTGGTGATAACAACAAACACAAACAGAATGTGTACCATTTGCACCTGGCAAAATGCACCACTTTGGTCTAAGTGAAGCAAATTTTGAGTAACTTATTTGTATTTCTGGATTGTTTTCTTTGTATAATACATATAGTTCTTTTAAATTACACAAAAGCAGTTTTTTTTGTTTATGGATATTCTTTTGAATGCTAACATAATCTTTTTTTCCAGACATAGTTCTACATAAATCACTTGAGTCATAAAACAATTTAACAGAATCTTCTATTTCTTTGTGTAAGACTTTACCTTTATACAATGGAGAGATAGCTAACAATCCTTTTTTATTAAAAATTTGTCTAGCCATTTTTGCTTGGTATTCTGTAACTGCAAAGTTATTTTGTACTTCTAATATCGACCAACTTGGGGGT